CCCCTGCACAGATGTAGCCCATGGCAGTTTAGTGTCCAAGTGAGTTACATAGTAATGGGAAGAGGGACTGCCTCTGACATAATCTGATTGGCCTGCTCTTTGATCACCTCTCCCTGAGGGGGGAGCAGCCTTACCAGGCCACAGAAGATGACAATACAGCCACTCCTGATAAGATCTGATAGACTAAAATCACTCACAGCACATTTAACAAAAAGAAAAGACAAAAGTTAATGTCTCTCAGGGAGAATCCTGGATGTTATACACAAGTAGGAAAAGTACTCTTCATGTATCTTCCTCATATTTTTAATCTGAATTTCTGTTCTATAAAAGTGTTCATCTTCAACCAAGGAACATGTATGGATATAACCTAGATTCCCTGCTGGGATATAGCCCATGGTAGCTCAGTATCCAAGTAGGTACCCTAGTAATGGGTACAGAGAATATTTCTGACACGAATTCAATGGCTGGATCTTTGACTTCCCCCACACACACCCTGAGGGAGGAGCAGCTCTGCTAGACCACAGAGGAAAACTTTGCAGCCATTCCTGGTGAGACCTGATAAGTTAGGGTTAGATGAAAGGGAAGGAAGTCCTCCCCTATCAGTGGACTTGGAAAAGGGTAGGGAGAAGATGAGGGAGGAAGGGTGGGATTGGGCGGGAATGAGGGAGCAGGATACAGCTGAGATACAAAGTTAATAAACTGTAACCTATATTAAAAATTGAAAATTTAATTAAAAAATAAACAAATAAAAATAAACCATAACAGGGTCCAACTGCAAGTTGTACAGGAATTGAAAGAGCAGAGAAGTTCTTCTATCTCGAATATTTTGAGGAATCCTTTGTACGCTTTTCTTATATGCATGTAAAGGAAAGTGAGAGACATGGTCCTCAATAATTTTTTCAAATAATGGTAGTGAGCCTTATCATTTCATGTTACTTTAGTAAATATAAGGAAGTTATCTTTAGTGGTAATGTTAATTAGATGTTAATGCAGAAAAATTTTAATCTAGCAACATGGCTGTTCTGAGCACATTCAAAGACGTTTTAGGTCTGTATAATCAAGATGGAATGCAGGCATGCCCTTAGTATACACTTCTATTCCCAAACAATGAAGGTAATTTAATCTGTGGAAAGAAGTTTCCATTTTTGAAAATGATGTCTAATTGAGAGGCAGACAAAGTCACTAATCAGAGAAAGCCTTGACAGACTAAGCCATAGACACGTTATACTCAACTCTTAGTAGAACAGAGATGAAAGAAAGGTGACTTAATAGAGTGATGCATACATATATGTGTGTGTGTGTGTGTGTGAGAGAGAGAGAGAGAGAGAGAGAGAGAGAGAGAGAGAGAGAGAGGAAGTTGTATTCAAGCAGAGAAAGTATATGGTATCTTTATGGCATTTTTTAAAATCTAAATTTCTGTTCTGCTAGTGTGTTCACTCACATGTTGAACACTTGTTAGGAGGGTGGACACCTGACTCTATCCATAATATTTCTGTGAACTCTTTGAAGATGTTTCTGAAATGCATGTAGTTCTTTGGGGGTGTATGTACACTAGGTTAATTATTTGAAGTTATGCTGCTTCCTACCCAACTTGTATATTTTGAAATGGAGAATGAAATAAAGATATCCCTTTATGTAGAGATAAGTTCTCCAGTCTTGTAGAATTGCAATCATTCCAGTGATAATAAGATTTTTGGAGTTATCTACTGTGAGTGTATTTGTTTTTCTGAATGAAGGAATATTGTAAGCCTTGAATGATAAGTGATGAATATCGATAATTCCTTTGATATTTTTTCACAACAGTGTACCTCACTACTAGTCTAGGACAAGGTACTCTATTCTGTTTCTCTTGTATCAAACTCTGCATGGAGAAGGTGCTAGTCCAGCAGGTCTAATCATCATCACAAGTATTTTAACTTCTTTATGTCTCATCCATTGTTATCTGTCATCTCACAAAGGGAAATAGTGCTATACAGGTTCTGAAAACCTAATTACTCTAAAGACTTTATATACCCAAAATTTGCTCAAGTACACAACAAGGACATTTGCTCAACCATGTTTATAGCAACTTTATTTGTAATAGCTAGAACCTGGAAACAACCCAGATGTCCATCAAAGGAGAAATGGATACAGAAATTGTGGTATTTTTACAAAATGGAATACTACTCAGCAATCAAAAATGAGGAAATCATGAAATTTGCAGGCAAATGGTGGGATCTAGAAAAGATCATTCTGAGTGAGGTATCCCAGAAGGAGAAAGACACACATGGTATGTACTCACTTATATAGACCTATAAGAAATGCTCAACCTCATTAGCCATTAGGGAAATGCAAATCAAAACAATCCTGAGATTTTACTTTACACCCATGAGAATGGCCGAGATCAAAAATTCAAGTGACAACACATGCTGGAGAGGTTGTGGAGAAAGGGGAACCCTTCTCCACTGCTAGTGGGAATGTAAACTTGTACAACCACTCTGGAAAGCAATCTGGCGCTTTCTCAGACAACTAGGAATAGCGCTTCCTCAAGATCCAGCCATACCACTCCTAGGCATATATCCAAAAGAGGCTCAAGTACACAAAAAGGACATTTGCTCAACCATGTTTGTAGCAGCTTTATTTGTAATAGCCAGAAGCTGGAAACAACCCAGATACCCCTCAACTGAAGAATGGATGCAGAAATATTGGTACATCTATACAATGGAGTATTACTCAGCAATGAAAAATAAGGAAATCATGAAATTTGCAGGTAAATGGTGGGACCTGGAAAGGATCATCCTGAGTGAGTTGTCCCAGAAGCAAAAAGACAGACACGGTATGTACTTACTCATATAGACATCCAACGTAGGACAAACCCACTAAAATCTATGCATCTAAAGAAACCAAGCAAGAGAGAGGACCCTAACTAAAATGTTCAATGCCCACCTGAAAGGCAAAGAGGATGGACATCAGAAGAAGAAGAAAACAGGAAACAACCTAGAAACCTGCTACAGAGGGCCTCTGAAAGCCAGAAGAAGAAAACAGGAAACAAACTAGGAACCTAACACACAGGGCCTCTGAAAGCCTCTTCCCTGCAGACTATCAAAGCAGATGCTGAGCCTGATGGACAACTGTCAGGCAGAGTGAATGGAATTTTATGTAAGAAGTGGGAAATAGTAAGAGCTGGAGAGGACAGGATCTCCACAAGGAGAGCAACAGAACAAGAAAATTTGAACACAGGGAACTTCCCAGAGACTCATACTCCAACCAAGGAGTATTCATGGAGATAACCTAGAACCCCTGCACAGATGTAGCCCATGGCAGGTCAGTGTCCAAGTGGGTTACCTAGTAATGGGAAGAGGGACTGCCTTTGATATAATCTGATTGGCCTGCTCTTTGATCACCTCCCCCTGAGGGGGGAGCAGCCCTACCAGGCCACAGAAGAGGACAATGCAGCCACTTTTGACGAGAACTGATAGACTAAGATCAGAAAGGAGAGGAGAACCTCCTCTATCAGTGGACTTGGGGAGGGGCATGCATGCAGAAACAGGAGGGAGGGTGGGATCGGGAGGGGAGGAGGGAGGGGGTTATGGGGGGATACAAAATGAATAAAGTGTAATTAATAAAAAAATAAAAAAAGTTAAAAAAAGATATGATAAACATAATGAACTCTAAACACCTAAAGAAGATAAACAAAAAGAAGATCTGGGGTAAGATGATCAATTCTCACTTACAAAGACAAATGGGATGGACATTGGAAGTAGGAAAAAAAAAACAAGTAACAGGGCTGGAACCTACCGCAGAGGGTCTCTGAAAGACTCTACCTAGCAGTGTTTAAAAGTAGATACTAAGACTCATAACCAAACCTTCAGCAGAGTGTAAGGAATCATATGAAAGAAGGGTGAGTTAGTATGACGTGGAGAGGATAGGAGCTACACAAGGACCAAATATATCTGGGCACAGGGGTCTTTTCTGAGACTGATACCCCACCAAGGACCATATATGGATATAACCTAGAACCTCTACTCAGATGTAGCCCACGGTAGCTCAGGAACCAATTGGTTTTTCCTAGTACGGGGAACAGGGACTATCTCTGACAGGAACTCAATGTCAGGTTCTTTGACCTCCCCATCTCCCAAGGGAGGAACAGTACTGCTAGGCCACAGAGGAGGACTTTACAGCCAGTCCTAAAGATACCTGATAAAATAGGGTCAGATACAAGGGGAAGAGGTCCTCCCCTATAAGTGGACTTGGAAAGTGGCAGGGAGGAGATGAGGTAAAGAGGGAGGGTTTGAGAGAGAATGAGGGAAAGGAATACAGCTGAGATACAGAGTTAATAAAATGTAACTAATAGAGCAGGCCAATCAGATTATGTCAGAGGCAGTCCCTCTTCCCATTACTAGGTAACCCACTTGGACACTGAACTGCCATGGGCTACATCTGTGAAGGGGTTCTAGGCTATCTCCATGAATAGTCTTTGGTTGGAGTATGAGTCTCTGGGGAGTTCCCTGTGTTCAAATTTTCTTGTTCTGTTGCTCTCCTTGTGGAGTTCCTGTCCTCTCCAGCTCTTATTATTTCCTACTTCTTACATAAAATTTCATTCACTCTGTTCGACAGTTGTCCATCAGACTCAGCATCTGCTTTGATAGTCTTACCAGGTCACAGAAGAGGACAATGCAGCCACTTTTGATGAGAACTGATAGACTAAGATCAGAAAGGAGAGGAGAACCTCCCCTATCAGTGGACTTGGGGAGGGGCATGCATGCAGAAATGGGAGGGAGGGTGAGATTGGGAGGAGAGGAGGGATGGGCTTATGGGGGGATACAAAATGAATAAAGTATAATTAATAAAAAATAAAAAAGTTAAAAAATGTAACTAATAATAAAATTAAAATATATGTAAAACTATTGAAACATGAAAAACAAAACAAAACAAAAAAACAAAAAAAAAATTCTTGAGGATATCCTGGCAATTAACCAAAACTAAATAAACTGAAGAGAAAAAAAAAAGATTTTATATGTGGACCTCAGATTGCTATTTGGATGAGTTGATAACTTCCTCAGAGACTTATTGTCATCATTGATCCAGGCAAGCACTCTCTAAACACATGTGAATTTGCAATGCCAAGTGAAACTTCAAATAAATAGTTTCCTCACATTTATTTTTTATGTATAAAGTAATATTGATCAGTCTCTCAACAGAGATACTAGCATGATATAAACAATGTCAGATTACAGCCTGAATAAACTGTCTTTTCTCTATTGTATAATATAGAAGATGTATTAAATATCAAATATCATGCTATATGACAGTTATTGATATAAAAGAGAAATGTATTGAGAAAATATTCTGGGTTAACTTTCTATCCTAAAATCTGACTTCCTGTACAAAAATGGGAAAACAGTGTCAAGTATTAAATATGCCATGGGTTATTTTAAAATGTCTCTTAGTAAACATCCTACATGAGAGATTTTATGAAAATTTATTTGACAAGAGCATTTTAGTAGATTCCTCCTTCTCCTTCTGTTCAAGACTTTGTCCTCTATCTGACAGCCCAGTATGGACTTTCCAAAACATTTTGGGGAAAAACCTTTTAAGATAGAAACAAAAATTTGATGCTCAAAATTTAAGGGAAAATAACATGGAGAATATGGGGAAGCATTAAAAGTTAACCTCTGAATCTCGAATTTTAATAGAAATCTTTAAAATGAAGGTAGTTTTCCAAGTCCTCACAGCAAATACAAGACACAGTTGGTGTATTTTTAAAATCAACAAACATAAGGATTGGTAATATTTCATTACCTTAGCACTAGCTAGTGCAGGCAATTTTTACTTTCTGAGACCTATAACACTAGAAACATGGAATAGAATAAAACTGATTTTTCTTAAAGTACTGGAGACATATATCTGGTTTAAGAAGTCCCCAGCCTTGGCACAGAGAAATCACATCAACTGAATGAGAGTCATAGATTACCTGTCATGCTTGAAGAAAAAGAAGCTTTACAGGCTTTTAACCTGCAGCAAAGTATAAAGAAAATATATCAAGAATGGAAATGCATCCAGGCAATTCTGATAGCCTCAGATGTCACACCCTATAATTCTCCTATCACATACAATCTTCTCAACCAACAATGAATTAGTTAATTTCTTTTCCTCAATTTTAACTTTTCTTACAAGGAAAAGTTTTGTTGCTGATTGCTTCCTCTAAAGCAATCATTCAAAGCACCTTCAACAACACAAGACACAGAGTTCTTGTCTTTCAGGCAGAATAGTGAATACCCTGTGCTGTAGTCTGAAGCTATGTTGATGTCTATTTGCCATGCAGCAGCCAAGGATCATAAAGTTGTGAGTGGTCTGTACTGCCACCTGAGGCCATGGTGATGCCTGGGTCCCTGCTGCTGCTGAGCGATATGTCTGGGTCTGAGGTCCTAGTGCAGCCAGGGTCTATGTTGATGTTTATGGCCTATTGATTGAAGGCCATACAGATACATATCTGTGGTATAGTCTGCAGCATGATACATCATGAAACATCAACCAAGTTAATGTTTGTGGGTCCTTCTGCTGCTAAAGTCCATGATGATCTGAATAGCCTGCATTGCCATCTGAGGCCACAGGGTATCTCCTAGGCTCCTAGCTCTTTAAGAGGTTTCAACAGCATGCTAAACATGTGTTAAAGGGGTGGTGGGCTGATTCTATTTATGATATTCCTGTGAAGCTTTTACAGAATTTTCTTTTATGTATGTAATTTCCATTAGGTGAATCCTACACTAGGTTCATTATTTGATGCCATGCTTCTGCCATGTCCAGCATCTAAATTTTGTAATGGAGGATGAAATCAGTGATGTTCCTTCATCTACAGAAAATTTCCCAGGTATTGTGGAAATGCATTCATATCAGTGATGATAAAAATTTTTGAAATTATTTCCTGTGAGCCAAGTTTCTTTCTCTGAAATGAAGTCATTTTGTGAGCAATGAATGATAAATTGGTGAAAATCTAAAATTAAATTCGTTTGATAATTTTTTTGAGAATGATGTACATCACTATGTTTCTGGATCAAGGTTCTCTATTCAATTTTCCTTATATCAAACTTTGCTTGGTGAAGGCAAGTTTATCTAACTGACTTTATTGTGAATCCTAACACCACCCATTTGAATACACATGCAAACTCTACTGTTAAGTTTAGTGCTATTCCAAAAAAAGTCTAAAAAAGGTATTAGGAAAAGTTTGGTACACTGTAAATATGCCCATCTCTTCAAAACCTTGAGTCCTAAAGCTAATCCTGACTGTACTCTGTTATCTCTGAAAAATGGAAATATGCCACCCAGGCTCTAAAAGCTCATTAGTCTACAGAGGACCTTATATCTGGGCCATTGATTGCCATTTGTATGAGTTATTCACTGTCTGCAGAGACTAGTTGTCATCATAAATCCAGAAAAATTCTCTCTAAACATATGAACATTTCCAGTGTCAAGTCTTTTTAGGTTTGAAAAGGAAGATCATGGTTGTTCAGAAGGCATAATGCTCACTCTCTGAATGGAGGTAATGAACTAGAGACAGCATCAATAAATTTTATATTGCATCTCATATCATATCAGAGTTAAATAATATAACATATGTTGTTTTGTGAGACAATTACAGAAATGAAAGAGAAACACAGAAGAGATTTGGGGTTGACATTCTATCCTAACATCTGCTTTTCTTCACAAAAAAATGAAAATACATTCAAATATTGCAAATGCCATGATTTTTTTAGATCTTTTGAAAATTTATTCATCAAGAGCATTTGTGTATATTATTCCTCTTCCTGAAGATCTTGTTCTGTCTTTTGCAGCTGAATATTGACTTCCCAGTTTATATTGTAACCATAAATATTATGATCAATTGTGAAATATGTATCCCATGCCATTTCCCCCCTCACAGTTTCTGTGCTCCAGTCAGGAAGGAAACCTAGATCAATATCTCTAAATTTTACCAATAATCATGAATTAATTTCATAGGCACAAGTCTTATAGTTTGTGTGTTTCAGTGTGAAGTCTTCTCTATATATTATTATATTCAGTATCACTGATGTACTTTAATTTACAAGTACAAACATATATTGCACTTCAGGGCTCCCTAAAGCACAAAGATTTGTATATAAAACTTATTTATTTGTCTAAGAATAGACATCTAGGGTTGTGCCACATTCTGCTCTTTGTTTATCAGTCCAAGTATGGTATTTTTGTTACCTCCATTATAGGGGGATAGAAGTATATATCAGAATATACTACACACAAATGGAGTGTTTTAAAATCAACAAGATTACAATGATTGGTAGTATTTGGCTGTCCTGGCACTAGCGTGTGTTGTTAATTTCACTCTGTAAAAGTTAGAATACCAGAGGCATAAAAAGCAGTAAAAATGCCATTGGCAGAGCAAGGCAAAACACAAACATCAACACAGTGAAAGCTGTATTCCTTTTACTACCAAAGTCATAGATTATGAACTGAAGAAATCTTTAGTTTTATCACACAAAAAAACGACACCAGCATCAGAATGCCTGCTTACCTGTTATGCCTGAAGAACAGCAAACCTCTGTGCTTTTTACCTACAACAGATTATAAATAAAATTTATCAGCAATGGTAATGTGTCTATGCAACTCTTTTGCCTTACATGCCAGACATGCCAGAAGGTATTTGAGCACATACATTCTCCCCTACAAACACTAAATTAGTTCATCTTCTTTTGTCACTTTTAGCTTGTCCTGCAAGGACTCTTTTTCTTTATTATTTTGTGTTCTAAACCAGTAAGTCAAATCATATTTAAGCAAACGAGTAGAGATACAGATATTGTGGCTCAGAGTGGATAGCAGAAGTTGTAATCAAGTGACAAAACACATCACATATCCTTTTGATACTTTTGATCTGATTTCCTGTCTCTCATGGGATTCATTATTATGTTGAACATAAGATCATAGATGTGCATGGTAGATGATGTTTGTGATCTGCTGTTTGTGAGTATTTTATTGAGTATTTTTCATCAGTGTTCATAAAAGAAATTGTTCTGAATTTCTGTCTTTGTTGAGTCTTTGTCTGGTTTAGGTATCAGAGTTACTTAAAGAGTTTTCAATGTTCCTTCTGTTTTTATTTTATGAAATAGTTTGAGGAGTATTGGTATTCAAATTTCTTTGAAATTTTGGTGAAATTCAGCAATAAAACAATCTAGCCTTGGGCTTTTCTTTTTTATTTCTTTTTTTTTTTTTGGTTGGGAGAATTTAAATGACTGCTTCTATTTTCTTAGAAGTTATGAGTCTTTTTAAATTATTCATCTGATCTCAATTGAATTTGGTAAATGGCATGTATCAATAATCATCTATTTCATTTAGATTTTACAATTTTGTGGAGTACAGCCTTTTTTCTTTTTATTAATTATTTTTTTAATTTTATTTTTATTAATTACATTTTATTCACTTTTTATCTCCTTTGTAGCTCCCTCTCTCCTCCCCACCCAACCTCACCTTTCCTCCCCCTTCTCCACCCATGTCCTTCCCCAGTCCACTGATAGCGGAGGTCTTCTTCTCCTTCCTTCTGATCCTAGTCTATCAGTTCTCATCTGGAGTGGCTGCACTGTCTTCGTCTGTGGCCTGGAAAGTCTGCACCCCCCCCTCAGGAGGAGGTGATCAAAGATCAGGCCAATCAGTTCATGTTAGAGACAGTCCCTGTTCCCACTACTATAGAACCCACTTGGACACTGAACTGACATGGGCTACATCTGTATCCATTCCTCAACTGATGGGCATCTGGGTTGTTTACAGCTTCTGGCTATTAAGAATAGAGCTGCTACAAACATGGCTGAGCAAATATCCTTGTTGTATACTTGCGCATCTTTTGGATATATGCCTAGGAGTGTAATAGCTAGATCTTGAGGTAGCACTATTCTTAATTGTCTGAGAAAGCACCAGATTGATTTTCAAGAGGTTGTACAAGTTTACATTCCCACCAGCAGTGGAGGAGGGTTCCTCTTCCTCCACATCCTCTCCAGCATGTATTGCCACTTGATTTTTTGATCTTAGCCATTCTGATGGGTGTAAGATGAACAGCCTTTT